TTCACTGCTTTCTCCATGTAGAAATTCTTCCTAATGTCTAACCTGAACCTCCCATAATGCAACTAGAGGCTGTTTCCTCTTGTCTTATCTGTAGTTATTATGCAGAAGTATCTGCATAATACATAATAATCTGGAGAAGTATCTTCATGCAAAAAAATCAGGTGTCTTGGTTCTAGGTTAGAAACTGGTCATTGCTTCTTTCTGTCATTTTAATAGTTGTAACGTGTGTAAATGAACATCTGCAATTACAAACTTTTAGCTTACTGAGAGCTCTTTGCCCACAACCCAGACTTGGGGGAGGACAGTCATTTCCAGTTGCAAAGGCCATTTTTGTCTACATGCAAGTGAGATAAGACTGCCAAGAGCAGCAGTGAAGGTGGGCACCTCACACTGCTCCTCTGCACACTTACTGCTAAGCACGAGAGGAAAAGAGTTTAGCTGTAACCCCAAGAGGCCTTTCAGCTGTGCTGTTCTGAGCTGCTGCCCTGCTGGCTGCAGTTTCAAATGTATTTACTTGTCTGCTCCTCTGATCTCCTATTTAGTGATGAGGCTGTAAATCGAATAAGAGGTGACTAATAGCAGTGTGTTGTAGCAGCTTTGCTCTCTAGATTCTTTTTTCAGCCTGTGCTGTTCTGGATTGCACTAAACCTTCTGAGAGCTGGGGGCGTAACCACATCCTACATTTCAGACAATTATAAGAAACAGCCAAGCTTTGTCAAACCAATAGCTGAACTAATACCAGCCCCCTTCCAAAAACAGGTCCCTACAACCACCCAAAGCAAAGGCATGTGTGGTCAGAGGGATTTCTTTTTTATTTTGCAGAGTGTTGCATAGCTGTGAAGAGAAGCAAGAAAGAGAAGAAGTATTAGGAAGCAAGGCAGGAAATCCAGTAGCTCTTAAAAGAGTGAAGGAAACAGGGCGCTGGGGGATAAGTGTCCTCATTATGAAGTCTGAGGAGCATTTGCTCTCCAGGAAAAAAAAAAAAAAAAAATTTTTTTTTTTACATTATTTGAAAATAGAGATGATATCCTCAAGAAACATCATCAGTTTTCTCTTCTTAAGTGTGTAATGCTGATGTTAGAAGTGTAAAGTGGTTTCTAAGAAAACCTGTGGTTTACTGATATTCTGCTGAAGTAAATGGGTGGTGGTAGCAGGACTTGCAGAAAAAAATACGAAATCCATATCAAGTGGTGAAACGGTTGGAAATATCACAAAAGAACTATATCATCTCAGGATGACAGAGAAATGATCTTCAATGAAAGATAAGATCCATGCTGAGAAAGTAGAGGAAAACTTGCAAGTAAACTGGGAAACAGTTCATGTTTTGTAATGCAGTTGTTCAAGATGGAGTAGCTGTTTATGCACTTTTTTTTTAATGAACAGGCAACTGCAAAAGCACCAGAATCAGAGACCAGAATATTTAATATTTTGCATGAAGCTTTGGGCTAGACTGGACCATGAAAGCTATGATGGGCTAAAGCAAGGATTAAAGAAACTTAAAAAAAAAAAAAAAAAAAGTTTCAGATATAAATCAGTAGGTCCCAGAGTGACTACATGTCATCTGTCTGGAACTGCATCAAATGCACAGCTAATCACCTGCAGAGGCCCAGCGAGGAAACATTATGTCACTCCAGATCAAATAATGCTAAACATCTCTGTCTCGGTGCCTGTTGTGGGATGGAACAGGGATGCCGAGGCATTTCTGGTGCTTCTGGTCCAAATAAAACAATTTATAGGATACGACTGGGATAATTATCAGTGATAGGATTTCAACATGTCTATATCTGGGAACTGTGAATTACTAAAAGAGTATTAAGTAATGAATATCTTTGAAAAGTATTTCAACAGAAACAGTAATATTTCTGAGAAGTTAAGGACAAATCCCAAAGCCATCTCTTTCAAATTGCTTCAATGAGGCTGAGCAAAGAAAAAAAATCTAAGAATGTTAGTAAAAATGTTCTAGGTTGATATGAAAATCATAGCTTACCTACAGTAGTTAAAATGCCACTTCCTGAATGAGTTTTTACTTTTGCCCCCTTTTCCTCCTTTTTCTGAGCGTGGTTGTTTTAAACTTTATTAGGATGAAAAATGAAACTGAGATAATACAGTCTGTGTGTTAAATTTAATTGAAATTCCCTGTGGGAAGGTGGTTAAAACATCAAGCACATGATACAGCTCAAAACAAAGGAGTGTGTAAGCAGTTGTTTTTAATCATTTTTTCTGTTTCTATGTTGTCTGTAATATGGGAACAGTTTTATCTACTGTTGCATCATAGTAATAGTTTGAGCCTCTGCTAAAGAGGTGGAAGGACAAAAGAATGAGCAGAAAACTTGAGGGGGAAAAAAAATGGGATCAGGCGGCTTAATCAGTAAACCCTTATCTCTGAGAAAAGCAGAGACAAGTTCAAATGTTGACAGAAAAGGGACCTGGTGCTGTCTGTGTCTTGGGGAACAGAGTCTGTCTACTCTCTTTAGACAAGCAGAATTATGCCCCCAAAATACCTGACATCCTCAGATTTTTCTTCCTGACAAGAAAAGCTCCATGGCATCAGTTTGGGTTGGGGAGAGAAGCTGAGAACAGACCTTAGCTTTCAATTTGGATGAAGAATGTCTGAAACTGGCCAAAAAGAAAAAGCTCCCGCCCAGCACTAGAGATGTGACCTGAGGGAAAGGACGCTCAGGGTGGGCTCTCCTGGCAGGCCGTGGTGGCCACCCTTTCCTTGCCTGGTGTTTTGCCTGAGCTTGTGAGCTGAGCAGGCAGCCCAGCCGCCCTCTTTGTCCTGCCCGGTCAACTCGCTCAACTCCCAGCAGTGTCTTGGAGGGGAAGTGTGGGGTTGCAGCGGTGTAGCTTGGAGGAATCAACCGTGTGTGCCCAAAAGGCTTTGCCAGCCCTGAAGACCAATAGGCAAAATCTTAATCTCATTGCTGGCAGAACCAGTTGCAGCAGACGCTTTAAATGCTGTGGAAGTTTGGACCCTGCAAGGCTCACAGGACAATGAGTAAAACAGAAAAAATAAAAAATTTTGTTTCTTTTTTAGTCCTTAATTTTAATCTTTTCAGCTTGTTCAGTTGCTTCTGACACAGAGGACATGATACTTCCAGATTGCTTCTGTTCTGTTCCCCACTAATGTTTTCAATTATTTTTTAAAAGAAGTGAATTTGGATACAGGAACTTATCCTCTTTTTAACCTAGGTCCATTCCATGCTCTAGGTAACGTTATTTAATGTGCTTCATTTCAGCAGATGTGGTTTTGAATTAATGTAAAACAAAACTCAAAGAATTTTGACTTTCTTATTCAAACATTGTTTCTTTAATAGAGCATTACAAAAAAGGGTATAAGGGTGAAAGTAATAAGGCATATTTTTTTGTAAGAAAATACCGTTATATTCTCACCTTTGTGCGCATGTGATCATCATTTAACCTATTATTACTGGGCTTACTGAACTCATTTTATAGATGTTTATTTGTCCTTCTCATAGAATACCTCCCCACTAATGATGGAAGATTTTTGCTGATTGTTTTTAAATGACCATACTGCCATTCGATAGCCCATATTTTTTGTATCAAGATGGCTTTGAATGGAGTTTGCACCTAACTTTGTTTTTACATAATATGCAAGTTTGCAGATCTTTAGTTAAATTTAGGTCAAATGTTTATTTCAGTGCAGTCTCTCTTTTCTCCAGCTGTTTATCTCGACAGTGAAGAGAGCAAGGCCGGCTCCCATTGAGATTATTGTTTTTACTTGTCGAGCATTTCTCTAGCTTTGAATTGCTTCATCATCTTCGTGGGTGTGAAGAGAAACTTTTAAAATTTAATGCTTACCTCAAAATAAATTTACAATGTGGATTCCCCTCAACTTTGCAAAAATTCACTTTCAGAGTCAGGTTAGAAAAAGCATATAGCAGCATATTGTTTTACATTGAATCAAAACTCAAGATTATTGATCCTGGTCTGGATTTGCAGTTTTAATTTTAGAACTGCTTCATCAACGTAACAAATACTTAAAAAGATAATAAAATTGGAACATAGCAGCCACTTTAAATCACCATAGGTTTTGTATGGCCAATATGGCTGAGCGTTTTTTCCCCCAAATAGTTAAAATACATTTGTCCTAGAACTAAGAGTTTCTGTAGAAAACTTAAAGAAACGCATCTGATAAAGATTCCTATCTCCAGTGCTGAACTTTCATATATTACAAGTTCCATCAACACCACAAATTCAACTTTCACAACACATTCTGGGTCCTATTCTAGAAGAGGATTCGTCAACCGGTGAACAGATTTGTATTACTAAGCCCTGCCTCTTCCAAGATTCATTTAACTTCATCAAAAGATCAGGTGTCTTTTTTAGTTAAACAAATTCAAGAATACTCTGATAATGCTGAAATGATGTTCAAAGTAACTTAAAATTTCTGGTTACCTGAATGTCATGGGAGAAGTTATAACTGATACTGACTGATCATAAAATAAAAATAATTGTGTACATGTTACAAAATAAGTGAGTTCTATGATTTTTGTATTCCCTTAAAATAGGAATGTAGTTCTTTAGGAGGAACTGTCAAAAAAAAAAAAAAAAAAAGAAATAAAGGTGTGAAAGTGCTATGCTTTCTCTCAGCACATAATGTCAGTGAATGTAAAATGTTCATATAATTTGGGAGGACATCTTCACTGAAGGAATATCCTAAGGCAAGTTAGAATGAAAATAATAATTATAAAAATGTACTTTTTTTTCAGAAAGAAAATCATTAAAGGCCATTGACAAAATTATTACATCAAACTAAATTACATTTGAATGTGCCTGACTTTATCTCACATCTGCTTTACCGAAAGTAATAATTCTAAAATAGCTAAGTTAAGTGATGTGGCTTCTGACTGTATTATGCAGTATATAAAAAGCGTCCACATTTATGTCTGTTGTACAATCACAGCTCTTAGTCTTTTTGGAAAAAGTTTGAAGACACTTGCTCACTTCTGGTCCCCATACCAGCTCCACCGTTGTCCCTAGTGCCCCCTCCTCCTCCTCTGGTTCTTGCTCGGAGGCTTCAGGAGACTCTCTCGGTATTTTGCGCTTGTGTGGAAAAGTCGGACCATTTCATGGTCCTTGTTATCCAAAACTCTGGGCAGAAAGAGAGATGACTTCTGTGTCCTACGAGTTTTAAAGCCCCGCCTGGGTCGTCCTTTCCCGTTGACTGAGACGTACCAGAGTCTCTCCGCGCTGGCTTTGCGCTTGGTGTTGCCTCCGTTGGGCACAGTCTGGTACAGGCGGGATGCGTAAGTGTTATAGCCCAGCTCGTGGATCCTTTCCACAAACTCGCACTCTGCATTATAATTTTCCTGTAAAACAAACATGACAAAATCTAAGACATGTGAATAAGAATTATATTGTTTTATTCAGCTGTAAGTTTAATCTGTTTTGTGATTGCAGGTCTAAAGATGCCTGTGAACTGGAGGAATGATCTTATTGCTGCCTATCAACTCAGTCTGATAAAAAGGTAAAATCATATATTTTTTGAATAAGTATACAGCTAGATACTCCTGCAGTCTGTAATGAGATGTGAGCTGTGAACAGCAGTTATCTTTAGGGAAAATCTTTGTGTGCATGAGGTGCCGAAATGAACGCGCACCCTGCCACCGAGCTCCTCCGGGATGTGCGGTGGCTCCTCCGTTGCTGCTGGCTCCCTGTACACGTGCTTCCAAACGGATGTGTGCTCCTTCCTCCTGCCTTCTCTGTCCATGGGTTAGACTCGTTTCCTCAGTGCTTGCCCTCAAAACATCAGTCTCGCTATAAGGGAAAACAAATTCCCTTCCCAGATGATCACATTTTATCTATCAAAGTTTGTCCCTTCCATCTGCTCCTCAGGCAAAAGGCTCTGCTCTGTATCTCTCTGCATCTCCCTCTTCCCCTGTTTTACCTGTGTAGCTGCCTTTGCCCAGCTTGGGGTGCATGTGAGGCACAGTGGGATAGGGGGAACGGCTGCAGTGCCCATCCCAGAGGATTTCCTTGCCCACCGCATCGCCGGTGAGGACTGCAGTGCGAGGGCAGCTGTGGGCTCAGCGAGAGCCCTGCAATATCCCACCAGCAACACATGGCTGATGCTGTTCGCTCACCAGAGATGCCAATAGGCGTTTAACAAGGTTTTAAAAGGCTCCACACGTCTCAGTTTCGCAGCTGTAAAGCGGAAGTGCCCTCCCTTGCGAGGACAAGGTTTTCATATGCTGCGGTGCTGGAGCCTATGCTACTGCCATGTGGAGGCAGCTTTTTCTTGCTGTTTGCCTCAGCTCTAGGTCTAGAGGGTAGATTAGCACAGGCTGCTAAGGACACACAAGCTCTGCAGGCTCGACTAACTGATTGTATTGACACGGAGAAACGGGTGGACCCAAGGATACTGAGAATGGTTATTCCAATACAGTTCTGTAAACTTATTGCCGTGTAGTTATTCCCAAAGAAGCCATTCTCATCTGGAGTAGGGGGCCTGGCGTGGGTTTCTGGCACAGTAGCATCACTGAAGAAGCCTGTCAGCTTTTCTAGGCAGGCAACTTGGGGAAGTTTTTCTAGAGTGGAGCCTTCAGCCCTCACTGTCCTTGTGAAAGGAGAAGCTGCGGTGGGAAAACTTTTCTTCAGCAGTCTCTCTAGCTCTGAAAACACAAGTCTGCAGGAATCTGAGTCTCTCTCAAACTTGAGCTGGAGCTGCAAAAATTACCTTTTCTAGTTGCGCAGCAGCTTTTCCCAGGTGATGCTCCCTGGAACTCTGCAAGCTGAAGCAGCCGCAGTCTTGCCTCCCGGCATGTCTTGCACTGGAGAGGGATGTCTGAGACAAAAAGACTCCCTGGGCTATCCCCAGCTTTTCTCCACTGTAGGAGAGGGGAGGGGGGACCTTTTCACTAAGAATTTGTTTAGTCTTTTTTTAATTTGATGTAAATAATTTGGAGGAAAAAGAAATAAAGGATATCTATTTTGAACAATAGAGATAAGGGCAAGAAAGAACTCCCTTTAAAATTCAGCCTCTCCATTCATTCCTCTAGGCCAAACTCTGGCTTTGAGCTGATAGAAGAGCCCTGCTGAAAAAGATGCCCAGATGTAATGCCCATATTTACTGGAGACATAGACGTAGCCCAGCCGTAGCCGTGGCACAGCAGAGCTAGTATGTTGCATTTACCATTGCCAAAGTTATTTGTGGTCCAATTTTCTGCACCAGCAACGAACCATCATCTTTGTACATAGCTCTTTCCATCAGCAGGCATCACATGAAACACACTAAAGAAGCTGGGTTGGAAGTGTTATCTAGAAAACACCCTTGAGAAGGTAGAGTAAAATACACTGAAAGGGGGAGGTAACTGAGAGCTGCTCTTGTTGATTGTGTTACCCAGGCTGCATCCACATGGAAAAAGCTCACCTTGCTCGAGAATGTGCCATAGTGTTCAAATTAAAAGAGCTGTCTAGTTGTTGAAGGAAGCAAATTTTACATAGCTCTCTTTTTACCCCCTCCAAGTCTACCCTCTGAGCACAGGGTTCTTGGACCAGAGGAGAAGCTGCACAGTATGGTTGTTAGACCAAAACATCTTGTATAATAGAACACAAGTTGCTAGGGATGTAATCAGAAACACCAGAAGAAATTCAAGTAGCTAGATAATGCATATAGTGTGTACAGTGCTAAATAGAGACTTATCTGCATCTGAGTGTAAAGCAGGATAAGCTAAACTGGTGTACTCACTAGGAGGATAGGGGAGCTGCACTGTAGAGCAAGACCACTGCTACCAATAGAGCTGAGATTTTGCCTCAAAGATCAGGAGGAAAGCATTAAAAAGCATTTACTCTAAGAAGCAGAGCAACGTATCTTTGTCACATCACCTTTCCTGGCTGCCACCCTGCGTTTTAGGCCCTCTTAATTCCGTCACTGCCTAACCCAGTACTCTGTGCAGAGAAACTCCTGTTAATGTTAGTAGCCTGCTTTTCTGCAGCAGTCATCCTCGACGGCTCCTAGGTGCTCTTCGCCTGACATTCATAGCCCCGAGCCATGTCCCAGCTCTTCAGCAAACATGAGCATGGATCGTATGGGATAGACAGTGCCAGTCTGCACCGCAAGGGCTGGTGCAGTGGGTAGAACTGCCCAGGACTTGGACTATGAGAAATCCTTCAGCTGTCCAGGCTACAAAAGAGTAAGAACCCAGCCTCTTTCCTCTGAGAATCTCAAATATTTTAAGAATATACTAATCACTTGCCTATGACAAATCCAGAGACATCTAAATGTTTTCTCTGTAAACAATTGCTTGTAAGAAATTAGTGCTCCCTGTTGGACCCTCTGTGTCCATAGTGAGTGCCCATCCCAGAGGATGCCGGAATCTGGAATAACTTACTGATGCGTAGAGTCTGCCCCGTTTGTTCATGGCCAGGTATCTGCCCGAGAACAAGCCCTTGATGGCAACAATTCCCACATCAACCGCAGTTATTTCCAGAATACCTAGGAACAGAAACAGTTGTGAGATTTTATTGCTTCCCATCACATGTAAGGTCTTAAGATACATCTGACTGACACTTACCTGCAGAGAGGACTTCACAGCTATTGCTAGCACACACCAAAATCATACTGCAGCCACGTGAGCAAAACAAGACTGTTGGAGGCCATGTAAAACAGCAAGGGTGCTGCTTGAGACGAGGTGGGCAGTAAATCCCTAGATGTCTGATTGAGATTGCACTCTTTCAAAAATGAAAACAAAATCTGACACTGAACTAGAGGTTCACTTAATCCTAGATGTGTATTTAAAAAAAAAGTTTAAATCCTCTTTAATACTTAGACATATGAGAGCTCTTGACTTATTGAGACGAGCCATAAAGCTGTCCGTTTCAGGCCAATCTCTGGCTGGGGTCTCCAGGGGATAACACAGAGTGAGTCGGTTGCGTTTTAGAGCCATGCAGGTAACCACAAAAGGAACTTGTCACTGAGGAGGTCCGTGTAGCCCTCCAGACAAGGGCAAGGACTGCCCGAGTCACATTAGAAGGCAGGGGATGTTTCAAGCCCTCAAAACAGGTCTCGGGTACTAGGCAGTGTGAGAGCGCCGGAGCTGCCGGGGTGCGGCGGGAGGCCGAGGGGATCCGGGCAAGATGCCTTGTGGCTGCACAGCTCTCCAGCCTCCCTCGAACCCTGCTCTCACCTCAGCAGCTCCTACCTGGCAGCTCGGCGCTTTCTGCCTGTGTCGGGGAGCCCCAGCCCATCGCTGCTTCGGCGCCGCTGAAGCGGGGCCGGGCGGCCGGAGCGGGGCGCGCCTGGGGTGCGGGGCTGCGTGCGGGGCAGCTGCCTTGAATCCCGCCGCGCCCCGCTGCTGCAGGGTGCTCCGAGCCACGGCCGCGCTTCCTCTCGGCAGCAGCGCTTTTCCTTTGCGCACCTCACACACCTCCCCGAGGTGTCCCTGTCGCTGCGGGCTGGGCGCGCCTGGGGCCCGGGCGGCCGCGGGGGCCCCCGGGGGCCCCAGGGCGCTCCCCGCCGTCTCGCCATCCCCCTCGCTCCGCCATGCGCGTTTCAGGCCGTCCGGGCGCATCCCGCGGGACGCGCGGGGAGGCCGTCGGGGACGCGGCCGCCGTCTGGGCAGTGACAGGTCGGCGGGGCCAGGGCCCGCGGCGCCCGTCGGGGCGCAACGCAGCGGCGGAGCGGGACAGCAGGAGCCCCGGGGGCGCCGCCGTCCTGTCCCGCGCCGCGCCGTGCCTCCCGCGCCGCGCCTCCGCGCGCGGGGCGCCCGCACTTACTGAAGGCGCTGTTCTTCTCGAGGGTGCCGTTGATCCTGCCGCCGGGGTGCACCTGGAGGTGGTACTTGGTGGCGCAGTAGAGCTTCCTGCGGCGCGGCGCTCCGCCGAGGTGCTCGTAGACCCCGCCGCGGCCGCCCGCGTCCCGGGGCGCGCGCGGCG